GTTATGTCAGCCGCAACTATAATAGGAGAACTCCCATGCAATAGCGTTTTTTAGATGTGCTATTATATATTTTTCTTTAATAGAGTTAATCATATGTTGTAAATTATGTAATTATATCTTTGTTAAATGCTGTAATATAGTTTGTTGTAGCATTTTTTTGTTGTTGTATAAAAGGTAGTTATATCTCTAAATTTATGTTGTGATCTATTATTTTGTATGACATTGATAACGCTATAATAGGGATATTAAATGTTTTAATATACATTTTTAATTTATGTATTTTATATACTAAAATAACAATTAATATTTTGTTAAATTACTAAAATAACAATTAATATTTTGTCAAATATAATATAATTTAAACAAATTTCATAGAAACGAAAATAAATTATTAAAAACTGAATATTAATTCACAAAACTTAAAGCTCAGTGTGTAATATGCACACATTGAATCTAGTAGACAAACTTTATAATCATGCCTTAAACAAGTAAAGAAACACAAGTATTCTCTAACCAAAATTTCTATCAGAAAAAGACCACGAAGCAACAAAACTCCTTAATTAAGTTAATGGCTGTGACACCTTTCTTAAACCTTGAATCAAAGACTCTTCCTCCTTCCTCCGACCTTCTCAAAATTCCTTCCACTGTGTGATTGTGTGGCACACCAGGAGGAGCGGCATGTTTCACAGCTTAATGTTCCTCTAATAAGAACCTATAACAACATAACAACATACAACTCCAAATTTATAGACCAAAAGATTAGATATAAATATAGGATTTCAAGGTCCCAAATTAACAAAAACTAGGGATACTAAAATAAAGTGTAAAGGATCAAGACATACAAATACTGGGACGTTACCGATAGTATGGAGCTGTTCTTCTTAACTACATACTCTGAAAAATACTGCTTGCTCAGTGTGAAAGCATGAGGACAATACCAAGTAATGTAATGAGGTCTAAACTGCGTGAATCCGCCTTTCTCGAGAATCTGAGCGGCGTCCTTAAAATCCTTGACAAACTCCATCAACATGTCACACTTAACCCTGCATTCATCGTTGTTGTTGGTTGACCATATCCCCTCCACTAATTGCTTTCTTCAACTTTTCAAAGCGAAGAAACAATCTACACAACCGTCCATTAGTATAAATGGTAAAGACTAAGGCAAGTTCTACACACACCACTTGAACCAATTAAGAAGAAAGGTTATACTTTCTAACCGAACCAGATCCATCACAAACAAAATTGCGAATAGAGTCGTTTATAAACACAGTAGGGAATCAAATTCTGGAAAGAGAGATTATGTACCTCCGCGATCAACCAAGAAGAAGGTAGGTAAACCATCGTTCCCGCGGTTAATTCTGGAATTATAATTTTGTTTTGATTACAAACTTTTGATAATATCTCATTTATAACTAACTTTTACTTGCAAAATAATTATATTTTGTTTTGATTGCAAAATAATTTTTATTTTTTATTATGTAAAGTGTATGGATTTTCAAAATGAATATTTGAATTTTCTTATATATAAGTGTTGGATTTTTAGGTAGATTTTTGTATGCTGATGTATACTAAGGTTAGAAGTTTAGGGTTTAGGGTTTCGAAAATGATTATCAAAAATTTTAAAATTTCTATACCAAAAACTCATTAATCCACAAAATTTATTATATTTCTATGGTTAACAACACTAAAAAAAGGTTGTATTTCAAATCTAATACCCTAAATCTTTATATTCTAAAATTCAAATATATGCCCTAAACTTCAAATAAACGACCATGACTTTAAATATTATTCCAAATTATTTGAATTTTTGTCAGTTTTGTATCGGTAATGTTCTTTTTGTTGGTTTTAAATAGCAATAAGTCAATAACATATTTAGAGAATGATAAAACAAAAAAAAAACTATGTTTTAATTATTGTATTATCATAATGATGAAACTTGTTTACAAACCGGTTTTACATAAGAAATTCCAGTAAAGAACATCACATTAAATAACTCAATGAGAATTTAGAAGCTTSAAATTTGATTTTCTATCAAGTTCATAGATCAATTGACAATCCATCTTCTCTTTCTGCTTGTTGGTTTTKACTAACAACCCCACTGTAAGTAACATATAAGAACTCATCCTCTTCCACTCCATCGATCGGACCAGTCTAGAACCACAATTTCGAGCCTTTCTCACTTATTGCTACTCTCACAA